TCTTTGACCAATTAACTATAGATGTGCAAAGAGCTTGCTAGGTGAAGGGGAAACTCAGCATACAAATGAACCGTGACCTTTTTTAATGACAACATTTCTGAAGTAATGTCTGTATGCATTAAAGAGATATTGGGGAATTTGTTTCCCGCCAGAGAATTGCTTTGTAGACTTCCATTTCAAAGATGGCAAAAATTGACAACGCAGCAATCAGACTGGCTAAAATAGTTTTCTTAGGTGGAAAGAGTTTGGAGGTGAAGGTTAATGAAATAAAGTCAGAAGCAAACTCAAACCTACTTAATAAAGGAAAAGAGCTCAGATGAAGGCCTTGAGCCTCAGTTTCCTTGCCAGTGCTATTCCTCTCTATCGTCGGTGCGACAGAGATGCCCTTCTGATGCTGCAGCCCTGTTATAAGGCCAGACTGAGGAAAAGAGATTTGTGTGCAGGATTAGATTTAGGTCCTCTGTCAATCAGAAAATCTTGAAAAAAATGTAACAGCTATACAACTGCTCTAAGGACTTCAGACCTAGGGACGCTTGTTAAATATTACCATCTTTTTACACATAACAGCACTATTTTGTCACAGGCAGCTTTATTCAAGCACCTTAGTAGAATTAACTCCCGTGCCTGCTTGGAGGACTGGCTTGAGGTGCAGCATGAATGGGTGCGGAGAGTGGCAGGATGCTTCTCAAGGATAGTCAGCAGCAGTGAATGCCCAACACAGCCTTTGATGAGACTGCAAGTATTTGTTCACCCCTGCATTGGCAGAGTTTGCCTGTTCTAAAATCAGAGTCCCTGGGGTGTTGCAAATCACATTTGCAGAGAGAACTAGAATAGATGGGGGCGTGTTTCTGCCGGGTGAGCGGGGGTATAAATGTACATTTAGAAGGATGTGCCTGGGGTTAGAATAGCCCTGGGTCTGGAAATCATGATTGAGGTCCATTAGCTTAAGCTGCCTTGCCTGTTTGGATATAATTCAGATCAGAGTTTCTTGATCTCACACTGAACTACACACTGAATTTCACATGTGACATCTCTTTAAAGCCATCACTCTAACAGCAGTTGTATGCTGTTCAGAAAACACAGAGCAGTTTGCAGTAACCTGTCATCTGTGGTCATAACTTAGAATAACAGGATTAGCAGGAGGGTAGAGGAAGCAAAGGCGTGTGATGCAATCATATAATAATGTTCTCTAATCAATAGCTAGGAAATGGTTGATTTCAGATTTTTTTGTTCCTTCTTGGAAAAGTTATCAATTTCCAAGGTATTAAATCACCTAATTCTACTCTTTGTAGAGCTGGCTGATTCAGGCATGCAGGAGAATGGACAATGCAAAGTGTCATCCTTGTGTTGCTAAGCCATGGTCCAGTCCAAGAAAAATTCAAATTTAATTTTCTGCAAATGAAAAGCAAAGGAAAGAACGTGTCTTTGGTGTTTCAATGCTTCTACGCTATGCTTGCTTTTATGGGTCAGCGGTCATTTTTCCTGTGTGTATTGTCTGATGTTTCAAAAGGAACTGTCTCAAAAGTTGGCATACAGAAAATAGCACAAGTCAGGGTAGCAATCTTTTAGTGATAAAGTGATCAAAAATAGCTCTTCCTACCTAGTTCGGAGAGGTTTTTCTTTAACCTTCCCTTTCTAAAAATAGAACTTTGAAAGTGGCTGCAATGCTTCTTTTTATGGCCACTTTTCCTGAAGGGGTACAGATCATATGGCGATGCTGCCGTATTGCAAAATTATTTCTAGAGTGCCGCTTCCAAGGAATAAAATAAAAGCTGCAATAAAAGCTATTGCAGGCTGGAAATCAGAGAAAGTTAGCCATGTCATCAGCTAACTTTGGTATCAGCAGTTGCAACATGTATGTCCTGCTAGCAGAGGCACTGATGGGGACAGAAGACCCATTATTCAAGACAGTGAGACACGCTGCCAGGGAGGTCTTGCCAAGAAGCGCTGTCGGGTGCTTTCACCGCAAGGCGGATGTACAAAGCACACCTACAGTGAGGACTCATTTTTCAAAATACCTCCTCGCCGGCCAAGCTTGCCCAGATTGCTCAGAATATCCTGAGCCTAACACCCAACCTGACGCTCAAGTGGAAGTTAACACAACCAAACTGGGGATTGCATTAAAAAAAAAAAAAAAAAAAAGTAATCGCTCATCTTGGCATGCGAATGGGCTGAGAACTCGGTAAGATCTAGTCCCAGAGATGTGGAGCTCTTGGGCAAACTGAAAGCAAATATAAAGCCTTGTGCTCCACTAGTTTCACAGAAACGCTTACGTTAGCTTGAGCTGGGAATGTGACCCATAATCTAGGAGGATTTATGTTTATAACGCATGGACCTAATTCTGCAGGTGCTAGACTATATATAGCAGCTGTTGCTGATTTGTTTGTGGGCTTGGCTCCTCGGCACGCAGTTGTGTTTATCTCCTCTGTTCATTGTCACGTTGCTTTTGCGCTCAGCTTTACTTCAGCACTTATTACTCAAAAAGCAACAGCTGTATCCTGCTTCTTCACTGTGACATTTGATTTTTTTCCCCTTTATTGACTTGTTTTTAGCTGAGGCAAAAAAAAGTGCACTTAGATATGGATGATTCCTCTTTCTAAAATAAAAAGGCCTGATACAAGGAAGCGTGTTCTCTCTGCTAGTTTAATTTGTATCTAGGTTAATTGCTCTCCTGGTGGATGTGTTTAATTGATTTGCATAGGGAAAGCCAAAGAAAGTCTGCAGCTCAGTGATGACTCTCCACAACTGCAATGTCTCCTTTTTTGCTTTTAATTAGTGCTAAAGGTGGAGTCTACCTTGCAGAAGGCTACTGAGATCTCTGAGGGATCAGTTGTAATTTAGATGCCGTGTGTTTTCTTTCTCTGATGCAGACTCTCCAGTAAGTGTTGAACAGAACCAAAGAGGATTTCAGGTAAGAGTGTTTCAAAGCAAAATTAAGAGTGAAGGGAACATCACAGTAGTCCTGCTTGGAGGGCTTAGCTTGGATGAATTGTTTATGGGTGAAAAAACTGAGAATGTCATGATATGAGCTATCTTGCCGCTTTGGCTGGGGAGCCCCAAGGAGCCCACGGGACGTAGTCATTCTGCTTTGCTCTGAGTGACGGCAGGGTGACGGTATTTCACCTCTCAGGACTCCTTCCTGTGACCTGCCTCAGCTTTCTGGCCTGAGCAGATGCTAAGTTCAGACATTCCTCCTGCAGCGTATCAGATATTGCTGGATCTGAATCCCCTGATAAACTGCAAACGTAAAATCACATGAGGGCAAATACGGACGGCACCGTGCGGCAGCCGGACCAGCTTTCTGATGTGCTGTGGCAAAAATGCACCAACAGAGGCCACGCTTTACTGCATCGCCTAGTGAAACAAGTCCACGGTCTGATAAGACTGCCCCAAGGCTTGTTTTTATGATGAAAATGTGCACAGTGGAGAACAATGATGAAAATGTGCACAGTGGAGAACAAGTTCATGACCTCTGTTTGAATTGGATAAGTAATTATGGGGGTGGGCATCCTTTGTAAGATATTCCTAATATTTTTAAGGCTACATTCAGAAGTCTGAGCTGCTTTTTGGCCAGAATGTCAGTTCAATTTCCCCAGTCTTATGACATATGAAGAATGTTCTTAGTAGAAATAACTATAACCTGATTAGGAGGGAAGCAATAAATACAAATCAAATGGAATTGTGCAGACACTCACGGAAGGAAAATCAATAATTTTAGTAATACACTTTGCAAACTCATTTTATCGTAGACAATACATAGCTCCTTAGATGTCTTGGTTAGTGGAAACTAAAAGTCCTCCTTCTTATCTCAAGGTCCTCCACTGCAATAAATTTGTAACTTTTTAAACAAACTTTTAAAGCAGTGGTGCTACATCAATTTGTACCAAGTAAGAGTGGAGCGTACTGACCATGCACAGGAAAGAGCAGCAAGG